CTGATTCCATAAATCTGGAGGGGAGTCTAGAAATTTGCATTTCACTCAAGCTCCCAGGTGCTGCTGGTCCAAGAACCCCACTTTGAGAACCACTGGAATAAAGTATATGGGAGGATGGGAAACAGAGCATTAAAAGAGTATTAAGCCAGAAGAATCAGATACCTCTTATCTCTAAGATATGTTGTTCTCCTTGGCGAACAAGCTGGGAAGTATTCCAGTTAAGTGCACACACTCCAGAGATTTTTGGAGGGACAGAGAAATCTGAAGGCTTGGTAACCACAGCTCCCAGATGCTGGAGCCTAGCTGCCTTGGACCCCAGTCCATCTCTTCTCTGCCCACAAACTTCTCCGTGTCCTTCAAGTCTCTATTCAAGTCAAAGCCATTTTCTGACAACTTTCCTCATTTTCCCAGGCAGATTTTGGCCATTCCCCACTCTCATAGAACTTAATGCATCTCTCTATTATGATAACTGTCTTATTGGACTATGAATTTTTTTTATTGACCCATATTCCCCACTAGACCATGAATTGCTTGATAGGTGGGACTGTGTCTTATTTATTTTGGTATCTCACTTAACCCCTAAATGTTTATTGACTGCCAGACCAACTGGATAAATGGATATTTAAAGAGTATTAAAATGTATGTGGTGCCAGGAAAAACCTATCACAATTGATGTTGTGTGTAGATATTGAGAACTGGGTGCAAGTACTTTCTTGTCTGACAAAGATGGGTTCAGATCTTTGCTCCACCATCGGCCATGTAATCTTGGATAAATTAATCATTCTGAGCCTCTGTTTTATCATTGGTAAAATAAGGGCAATAATCTTAGCATGAGGATTAAATGAGATAATATGCCTAAAATGTTTAGCATGGTGGTTGGCACATAGAAAATATAAAATAAAATTCAATGTTTGATAAAATAGGGGCTTGCCTGGTGGCACAGTGGTTAAGAATCAGCCTGCTCAAGCCCTGGCCTGGTCCGGGAAGATCCCACATGCCGCAGAGCAACTAAGCCCATACGCCACAACTACTGAGCCTGCGCTCTAGAGCCCGCGAGCCACAACTACTGAAGCCTATGCGCCCAGAGCCCGTGCTCTGCAACAAGAGAAGCCAACGCAATGAGAAGCCCGCGCACCACAACAAAGAGTAGTCCCCGCTCGCCACAATTAGAGAAAGCCAGCGCACAGCAACGAAGACCCAACGCAGCCAAAAATAAATAAATAAATAAATAAAAAATTTAAAATATAAAATAAAGCAAAAAGAACAGTTGAAAAATGAAACCATTGGGCTGGGTAAAAGTAACATTGTCAATTAAAGCAATTTACAATACTTGCTTAATAGTTATGCCCAGTTACTAAGTGGCAAAATACTATTTTGCCTATCACTTAATATATGTCAAATTAACTATGATAATTATTTTTCCAACATTAGACTCTGTTCATTTGTGTTACTCTCAAGTCAAGGAGACTGAAGACTAAGGAAAAGCCATTTGACTTTAGGATGTCATTGATGACTTCTAAGAACCTGATTCAGAAAAATGGGTGTATGGGTGGATAAGGAAGGATTTTGAAGTGAATAACAGAAGGCCACAAACATAGACAACGTTTTTTGAGAGTGTGTCAACAAATAATCTGAGGCAGAGAAAGATAATGGCAAATTTTTTTGAACGATGTATCTGTAGAAAATAAATATTTCCATTGACATTAGAAATGTATAAGAAATATATATATAATGTATATTATACATTAGTTTTATATATATGTGTGTATATATATACCAGATTCAAAATGGTTTTAACACAAAGTATCAGGAATTCTTAAATCTGAAGTCCTGCAATTTTTTTTTCTCTACATTCTGTGAAGTAAATGTTCAAATACACATATAGCTCATTTTAATGTTTCCTTCCATGGGTGTTTCCTTTACTAATGGATTCCCAAGCCTATTCTTTTAAGCAGCACTTAAAATATTTCTGTTTTATAAGTTGTCGCTGTTTTAAAGGATAAATATTTTTAAACGGGCAGCACCTTGTGAGAAGAAGAACACTGCCCAATAAATCAGGTTCTAATGACCCAGGCAGGAGAGAGCAAGCAGGACTCTGTCGTTGGCTGAGTTGGTCTCAAAAACAGTAACACACAGGAAACGGATGACAGCAAGTTTCAAAGCACAGCAAAAGCCTCATTAATGCTGAACATTGAAGTCACACTTCAGCTTAAAATTTGCTGAAACAGAAATAAAAACATACATGAGGCCCTTTGGGTCTTCATATGTTCAAGAAAATATGAGTGATGTGTTATTCTGTGGTGTTCTATGATAGGTTTGACTGCTTGTTTTCCAAGGAGCTTTTATCTTTAGATTCATTCTCCAGGCAAGCTCATCCCCCTGGTGTGTTCAAGTGTGCACCAAGGACTTTCCTGCAAACAGAAACCTGGAGAGGGAAGCTTTAAAAAAAATAAAAAAAAACACAAAATAAAACCTTTTTGTATTGTAGTTAATGTCCTCTTATTGCTTGTTTGTGGAGAATAAGCACAGTTCAGAAGCATGATAGTAACTAATCAAGAAAAAAAAAGCATTACTTATATATTTTTTGTTTTTCTATTTATTGTTTTGTTTTAGAGAAAATGTATTTTTCTAGTGCAACCAAATTGACAGACCCTTTGCAGGATAATAAACAAAATGGAATGTTCATCTACCTTTTCGAAAGACTAAAGTAACTAACATTTTAGAATCTGATCCTATTTTCTAATCTTGATTAATCCATAACTTTCAGATATAATGAATTGTAAATAGTCAATTATAAGGTGAGCCTTTGGAAGTCGGAAAGCACTTTCTAATGGGGGAAAAATTTCTTTGCGATGACTGGATTTTCACACTAGCCCACAAGTCTAGTTAAGCTATGACATACTTAAAAGGACAGTAGGAATAAAAAGTACTGAGGTAGTGCTATTTAAGGGATGGAAAGAACACAAACATTGGAGCCAAAGAGATTTGAGCCTCGGTTGAATCTTAGGTCATCTGCTCACCAGTTTCGAAATGTTGGGCAAGTAACTTCACCTCTCCAAGCCTCAGTGGCCTCACCCATATAATGGGGATAATGCTCAGATTCCAGGGTTGCTGCTGTGAGGACAGCACATGGATTGAGAGCAGAGAGACTCTGGAGCCAGATGCAAGGTTTGAATTCTGGCTCTGCCATTTACTTGCTAGGAACCTTGGACTTAACTCAGACTTAACTTCTCCGTGCATCAATTTCCTCATTTTATAAAATGAGAATAAGATAGAAACACCTCTAGAGGTGTTGCGTGGATTGTATTGGGTTGAGTCAATATATAGAAAGTGTTTGGCATAACACTTGGCATATGATAATCCACTATAAAAGTGTTAGTTATTATGTGTGCTTCCTGTCTCTTCTTAAACAATAATAACAAACCATCAGAGGCTAAAAAAAAAAATTTATGGATAGATAATAGAGTTACTTTCCTAAGAAACTAATTTGGTTCATGGTAATTTATCACTATGTATGGAACAGAAATTTCATCCCCCAGGATGTGCAAATGGAGAAATGAGGATTGTGTCTAACCAAAACCACAATTTCACTTGGTTTAGAAAGAATGTCAAGTGTTACCTGCTCTTCACCAGAAGGGAAACAAGCAACAAGTCTCTGCAGCCAGACATAGAAAGTATTGTTTTGAGAAAATGGAAAGATCTCAGACGTGCTTGGGCAAGATTATCATTCCACTGCCTTTTAATTACAATTACCGTGCTAAAAATAGTTGCATTGTACTTCATTCATTCATCATTGCTCAATAGCCCCATTTGTGGATTATGAAAATATGAGATGCCTTGCAAATGAAGACAGCTGGATGCTTAAAACCTGGTCTGAAGTATTAAATAGACTGAAAGTCTTAATGTATTCCTTTTTTCTGGTACAGTGAAATTGTTTTTTTATCAGATATATCCTTAACTCCTAGGATTACGCAGGGGTCGGGGAGGAAATGTGATTTTAAAAGGGAGGTTGCCAACGATTTTAGCTTCACCTACTTGGAAACACTGTAATGAAGCAGGAGTCAGGGCCAGCCTTCCAAGATGCCCGTATGGCACCCTGTGGTAGGAGGAGAGCGTGGAGAAGTAAAAGAGGTAGGGATTACATGAGAACACCTAGTAACCTAGTCACCTTCATTTTCTAAAACCTGCTGTCCCCAGGAAGCAGGAAGTTACCGAGAAAATAAATATACTTTGCTCATCTGGGTCCAGACTGGGATCCTTGGTTAAGGCGGTGACGTGGTGTGGTGTATGGGGCTGTGGTGTTACACTGTGGTGGTCCCTTAGCTCCTCCGAATGTTCCTGGGCAGCAAAGTGTCTTCCCCAGAAGCAGGGCTTTAAGCTGGAGAATATTTGAAAGTAAAAATAACACTAAGGACTACTAGTACACTGTTTAAGTTATTTTGAATTCATCTTGGAATTGGAAATTCACAATGCAACTCTTGGTATTTCTCAGTTTATTGAGACAAAAAGGGGCTCCAAGGCCAAAGAGCAGATCACCTTGGGATTTTCCAGGGATTCCAGCCCAGCCACAGCAAGCCACCGCAAGGGCTATGCAATTTGAAGGTGAATAACTGGTGACTTTAACTAAGGAGAGAAAACCAGAATAACATGAAGTGGTGCCAGAGAGCACATAAAGTGTTCTGGGGCACTTGGCTCTCCTAGTTTCCTTTAAAATTATTTTTATTATTATAAACAGCTTTGCAGAAAGTTTATCCCATAACCGTCTCAATAAAATTACTGACATATCTCTGTGAACATTTACAACTTTGTCCATGTGTACACATATTATTTACTAAATTTTATCCACTCTGCATATGATGGGGGTCTTACTTTTCATGTGGCATTATTTGTATTATTTTCTTCAACTTTCTCTGTCTAGTTCTGGTCTAACATTATATTTAACATGTTAAAGGATGGCATAATACCATATCCAGTTGATAAAACAACTTATTTTCTCAAAGGTGAATCAAACTTCTCACTTCTCGGCCTTCCCTGGTGGCGCAGTGGTTAAGAATCCGCCTGCCAATGCAGGGGACACGGGTTCAAGCCCTGGTCTGGGAAGATCCCACATGCCGCGGAGCAACTAAGCTCGTGCGCCACAACTACTGAGCCTGTGTGCTAGAGCCCGCAAGCCACAACTACTGAGCCCACGCAGCATGACTACTGAAGCCCTCGCGCCTAGCGCCCATGCTCCGCAACAAGAGAAGCCACTGCAAGATGAGAAGCCCACGCACCGCAGCGAAGAGTAGCCCCCGCTCAGCACAACTAGGGAAAGCCCATGCACAGCAACGAAGACCCAACGCAGCCAAAAATAAATAAATTTATAAATAAAAAGTAGGATACAAAAGAAAATTTCGGTGTGATAAAAATTAGGTCACAATATAATATAGTTACTAAGAAAATTCGACAAAGAAAATACATCAGTATTTTAACAGGGGTTATGTATGTTTAATGAGATTATAGATTATTTTTTATTTTCTTCTTCATGTTTGTAAATTTTTTGTCAATTTTTCGTTGGTTTTATAATCTGGGGGAGAAAAGCAACAGATGTTCTTTTTTCTTTGTTCTTGTTTTTAATTGCAAAGAGAAAGGAGAGATTTGAGTAGCATTCTTTTAATGCACAGACATCTGTGTGCAAAATGAAAGTTTTCCTTAGGTGGATTTTGAATCAGTAGCTTTTATGTGAGAGAAGTAAAGGACCCAGAGTTACTGCAGAGAACCCAGACGGGATTTGTTGCTTGGGACAGTGCTTGGAGATTATTATTATTATTATTACTGCCACATTTTAAAATTGAAGTCTAGTTGATTTACAATGCTGTGCCCATCTCTGCCATACATCAAAGTGACTCATTTATACACATATAGACATTCTAAGAGATTACTGACTTTTATTTTCAAGAAACAAAGAGAGGGAAGCCCAGTAAAATAAGACAGCTTTACAAGGAATAATGCTTTAAAAAGAGTAGTTTTTCTATTACAAGTGACAGGTTTAAATAATGCCCCCAGTAGTACTACTTACATCTCACTACCTCAACTTTTGACCTTTTAACTGGAATATATATGGTGCATTCTTAATAGTGTGCTCTGGGCCTGTTTGCTGGTTGGCCCTTTCTTTTCTTCATGATGTGTGGGTGTGGGTGTGGCTGTGTGCATGCATTTGTATAATCCACCTTTATCTTTGTGGTCTCTGGATTTTGTGTCAGGCTTAGAAAGGCCTTTCAAGTTTATAAACATTTTACTCACATTTTCTTCTAATGTTTTTATAGATTGCACTCTTTACATGTAAATCCTAAATAATGGTTGGTTATATTTTAATGTAAAGATTAGGGTAGAGAGCAAGCTTTATGTGTTTCCATATGGCTAGCTAGTTGTTTTAATAGCATTTATTGAAAAACCCATATTTTTTCCCAATAATTTAAAATTCACCTTTATATTATACTCAGTTTTCATGTCCTTTGCATCTGTTTCTGGATGCTATGCCTTTTCATTCACCTATTGGTTTGTTTCTAAACCAATACCAGATTACTTGCCACACTTCTGTAGTGTGCTTTGATAATATGTTAGGTCAAATTACCCCCAATCCATGCCCTCTTTTATTTTTCAAAAGCATATTGTAATTTTTTTTAAGTTAATGTACTTCTTAAATGGCTTGACTTAACATTTCACTTTGCTTTACTAACTAGAAAGTTTCTTTTTTCTTTTTTTAATTTGGAGCATGAATTTTAGTGCTGCTCATTCTAGCAAAGCAGGGCAAAACCTATGCCAGTTTTCTGAAGACAGTGTCTGTTTGTTCTTCAGGGCTTCTGTCGAGAAGCAGTGTGGTCACGGGCGCTTTGGCTCCCTCTAGCAAACACCCCTCAGTCAAATGGAAAAGCCCCTTTGACATCTAAACACCAAGATCTCTGAAATCTTGGCCATGTCTGCAAACAAGATCTAATCTAAAGCCCAATTACACGGTCTAGGACACATTCCAAATAAGGTATTACTGCTCTCTCGTTCTGAGCTGCTAGGACCGTCCCATTCAGAAAAGAGCCAAAGGAGTTCATTTTTTTTAAAGTAGCTGAAAGAAACACTGGTTAACCCATCAACGCCTGACCTTTTACAGTTCCCATTTTTGTACACCCAGATATGTCCACCTTGGTTAAAAAAAATCAAAGCAGACATACACATATCAACACAAACCACTTTCAGTTGGGTTGGCTGCTAAGAGATAGCTATGATTCTTTTTCTAATTTCCCCTTAAATAACCAACGTCTTCAAAAAGTGATCTGTTACTCCCTGGCGTCATGTCTTCACTGGTTTCTATCCCTGATTTTCCTAACATCCTACGTCGAGCTTCTGGCTCTAGGAGCAGTTTTAGTGAAACAGCTTTCTTACACTCAGATGTCTTTGTTGCTCTAACCAAAACCTTTTGCTCAAGTGTAAGCTTCCCTCATCTTGCTTCCACACCTGTCTGTGAGACTTTCTTCCAAAGTTTTTCAAACCCAGCTTTTCACTTTTTCACTCCTCCTGCCTTTGCTCTTATTCCTCTCGTATTTCCTCCTGTTCTGATTCTCTTTCACCTCAGTAGGCACACATCTGGGGACTTCTGCTCAGTCCACACCTCCCACTTTGACAGCTTCTCCTGTTTCTTTCTCTTTCTCTCAGGGGTTGAAAGCATCCACGAAGGACCATGTACAAATGGGGTGGAGGGTAAAGAGCTACAGAAAAAGAGAATCATCAGGCAGATAGACAGAGAAAAGACCAGTCCAGAGGCCACACAACCCCAGAGAGAGGAGGAGATGAGAACTGTTTAATGCCTAATGGTGCCCCAGTTCTAGTCCTCTGTGAGGATTTGCTGTGCTTCCTACTCTAAGGTTCTGTGTCACCGTTGTCTCCTCCCAAGAAATCTCCCCCTTTGGGCTTAAGTTACTTGAGGAGGCTTCTGTTTCTTGCATTCCCTAAGTTTGAGATGACATCCCCATCTCTAAGGCATAGTCCTGGATATCCTTTTCTCTACATGAAACCCTAATCAATTGGAAAATTTTTAAAAATAATAATGCTCACTGTCTTTGAATTGATGACTCCTGAACCTGTGTCTCTAAAATATGAGGCTTATTTGTTTTCCAGAGGAACTGTCCAAAGGAAGAGGCAAATTACTGAAGTAGTTAAGAGTGTGAGCTCTGAGGTCAGACTGTCTAAACAGCTTGAGATCTTCAGTTTCCCAATCTGTAAAATGGGAATAATAGAAGTACCTGCCTTAGAGGAATTTGTGAAAATTGAACGAGGTAATGCATATAAAGCTCTTAGAACAGTGCTTGACTCACTGTCAACCTGCAGTAAATATTGTTGTTATTATTACTACTATTTATAGCAACACATTCGTACTTGGCTTTCCACAAGAACTTTAACATGTCCACCTCAGGACTTCTCAACCTCCTTCCAAAGAGAGCATGACTACATAACTTCCCGGTCCTGTCACTGGCTTCTCCATTCAATCCAACAGTCCTGGAATTTGACCTCGGGTCTGTTTGACTTCAGAGCCTGTGCTTATTCCATTAGACCAGCCATTCCCAAATTTGACTGCATCTCAGATCCCAAATATAGTGAATCAGAATCTTGTAGATTGGGGCTTGAGAGTCTGTATGTTTTAAAACTCTTCAGTTAATTCTAGTGGGTCTGATCATTGAATCAGAGTCTGGATTATACTACTTTATCTTCACTAACTTTATCTGTAAAATGGGCGCAGTAATATGTCTATTTCATTGAACTGTTAACCTAATATATATTGAATCTTTACTGTGTGCCAGGCATTATGCTAAGGGCTTTCTATCATCTCACTTAACTCTCAACAATCCTGTGAGGTAGATACTAGATTGTCCCTATATTACAGATGAGGAAACTGTGATGCAAAAGAGGTTAAGTTACTTGATAAATGCCCACTTAGCAAGTGTAGAGAGCTAGCGTATCAATTGCTGGGGTTAATGTGATGTGAGGATTACATTAAATAATGCATTTAAATCACCTGGCACACAGTAGGTACCCAATAAAGGTTCTCTTTTCGGGACTTACCTGGTGGCACAGTGGTTAAGAATCCACCTGCCAATGAAGGAGACACGGGTTCGATCCCTGGTCCAGGAAGATCCCACATGTCACGGAGCAACTAAGCCCATGCGCCACTACTGAGCCTGCGCTTTAGAGCCCGCAGGACACAGCTACTGAGCCCATGTGCCGCAACTACTGAAGCCCGCGCGTCTAGAGCCCGTGCTCTGCAAAAAGAGAAGCCATCGCAATGAGAAGCCTGTGCACTGCAATGAAGAGTAGCCCCTGCTCACCGCAACTAGAGAAAGCCCGTGTGCAGCAACGAAGACCCAACGCTGCCAAGGATAAATAAAATTGAAAAAAAAAGGTTCTCTTTTCCCTTCCTTTTATCCAAGGGATTCTATTCATGCCCAGTGAATTTTAGACAGAGGACAATACTTCAACCTTATTGGTGGCCAGAGAATTGGAAATTTGGTATTCTAGAAGGTACAAATAAAAGGGAAGCAGGTACCTGAGAAAGATGGAGGTGTTTGGGATCTCCAACAAAGAGAAACAAGGGAAAACATAATTACATATGGAAGAGCAGGTGCATGTGAGAACAAATAGTAGTTTGGCCACTGAGGGTAGGAAACGGCAGAGTGATAAACTTTAAAAGAGGAAAACCAAGGTATGGAAAGTAGAACCACATCATCTCAGGGGGGAAGAGTCCTGAAAGATAACTATTCCAACCCCATTCCCACCATGTGGTCATCCAGTTCTTATTTGGACAAGTTCTGTGACAAAAAACTCAACTTATCAAGGCAGAAGAAGCTCTGTTTTTTAGAAGATTCTTCATATTGAGTCATTCTAGAATTTCTACCCACAGGGGTCCCCCTTCCACCCTGTGGGGCCCTGAAAAATAAGTCTAATTTCTTTTCTATTTGACAGCTCTTCAAATTTATGAAGACAGTTACCTTGTACCCCTGGGGCGAAACCCTCTGCTTCCTTTAATATTTCCTAGTAAGACATAGTTCCCAGCCTTGTTACATCCTGGTCCCTTTTCTGTG